CCTCCATGACCTACCTGTTTCCTTCTCTGGAACACTCTCCTCATTTCCTCACCTCCCTGCTCACCCTCTGATGGCCTCCACCTCTCCAGGAACACAAACCAGTGGACTCATGTGTTTCCAGGATTCATTCAATCTAATCCTGAGCAAAAACACTCATCACAACCATTCTCTGCGATAGTCAGAGTTACTGTTTTTGTCATTGTGGCAAAGAGTCATTGTTCAAAGGACCATGTTCTCCATCAGGTGAGCCGCATTTACTAAACAACAGTTACACTGATTTATGTGATCACAGTGTTGTATTAGTATAGTCATTATTGATGTAAAAGTATTTCTGCTTTTTTTCACCTTTATGTCAAATATCAGCACAGACAGCTGCTGATCTGTTCATGCAAAGCCAGCTGTGGGAGGCAACGCCACAACATGAACCTCAAGTTTTTATAATGTTTATCCAGGCCTAAATGAATGAGATTACTTCTAGATGGTTTTTGATGTGGATCAGTGGCTGGACTAACACAGTCATTCGCATTTTTCACTTAATGCAAGAGAAAAAACAATCATCATGTATCAAGATTTAAACCTTGTCAACACAAACATTAAGGTCTGTTGTTTTGGAGTTTGTTATATTTTTCTTTGTTTGCTGTTTGCATTTTCACTTTTTCACTTTGTATCAATGAAATTATTGAAACATGTATTAATAATTATTATGTTTATTTCTTATTTGCCTCAGTTTAAACATCCAGTTGATCATTTCCTGTTTAGTATCACAACAAGTCTTGAAAAACCACCAAAAGTGAGACGTGCATCACCCAGTGTTGTTAAGCAGTATTGCATTTATACGGTGAGTGTTGCGACACACATCTGTTTTTAACCATATAAAGCAAACTCCTGCAAGAGCTGACGTCAGTGCAACAAGTGTAAAAACTGTTGTTTAGTACTCAGATCTGTTTACATCATTGTACTATAACACATGTGAAAGAAAATGAGATAACACAACTTTTCTAGGAGCATTTTACTCAGGCTCAGAATGTGTAAAAAATTATTTCAGCTCTCATTCTAACAACTAGACACGGTTCAGTTAAAAGTAGAAGAAAGAAGCTCAAAAGCAGACGGCTTCACACTGTTAATATTCAGTGGTGTGTTGCTGTTCTGAGAATGCTTGACCACACGCATACATGGAAAGCTTGGGGCAGGGAGTAGGAGCAACACAACAGACATCAGTGAGAACAGCTGTGACTCAGTGAGTCAAAAACAGCATATAAACATTTTATTTGTTTCAGCAGTAATTCAGTTCATTACAGTGTTTGAAATAAACTTAATGATTGAATGGCTGCTGAATTTTTCACTGCATGTGTGTAAAAGACTGTTTTAGTCACACCACTAAGGCCTCGTGGTTTTTGTCTGGCTCCACCACAAAAACAGGAAACGCAGCCTGTGGGTGTAGCATGAAGTCGTCCATTTAACTGATGCCTATTTTATGTTATCAGCACATTAGCAGAGAGTTAATAAGAAATTACCGATAAAGATCACAGTGGGAATTTGACTTGCATGATACATGTTTATATCACCAGCCCTCACTGGAATTTTAGCAATAATTATCATTGTGACAATTAAGTATGCATGACACTGTGTCAAAACAGATAAAATAAAAGTCACTGTGGTGATGACACATGCTGGACTAAAAAAAAACTGTGAAGCTGTGAAAAACTTGTTTTTCACTCTGAAAAGCAACTGCCTTCAGTGTTTGCACTTTAAGACATTTTTCTTTAAATACTCTGTCAATATTTCTGTGTGGTATAATTCTGCAGGCTTATCTGTATCATCTCTGTACTTTAAATAGAGGCCAAGGCAGTGCAGACAGCAGTTAACGAACTATCGGAGCTGCACAAAAGTATGATCAATAAAGGAATGCATTAGAAGTACATCAAGCTGCCCATACCTGAGGCTTTGGAAACGGCCAAGCAAAGACTCTCAGCTTTGGTCAGTTGAAGAGGTATACAAGAGAGATAGAAGCTAGGAGAATAAACCAGCTGTACTCCTGATGTACATCCACGGTGTGCCCTCAGGGGCATGCGAACAATATGGGAACAGTCCCACTAAGACTGGAGTTGGAGCAATACTGGAGGAGCATCTGGGAGAAGGGTGCAACACATAGCAATGCTCAATACAAGTGGATCTAAGAGAAGACCAACCTCCCTGAACAAGAGCCAGTAAGCATCACAGTGGCAGACATCAGACTCCCCATCCAACTACCTATCCTTTCCAACAATAACTAATTTTTTTTTCTATAAGCTACATGAGCGCACAACGAAG